GTCAGAAAGGTTTGGCTAGCAGCCAGCTAGACTTGAAGCTTGAGATCTCTGGCTAGCATGGTGTTTTCTTTTTGTTTGTTTGTTTTGTTATTTTTTAATACTGTGCATCAAGTTCCAACTATGTGACATAGACTGTAAAAACTAAATAAAATGTGTTAAAGGAAGGAAGCTTGCTGGTGTGTTTGGAAGCGTTAGGATTTGGGTATAAGAACTAGCAGTGAGTGGAGGAAGCCGGATAATAAACACAGCGAGTGAACCAAGGGTGGGCTCTCTGCACCTGCCACAGAAGCACCGGTTGACTCAGAAGGCACGGCTGAGCGATGGAGGACTTGAGACTGTGGGAGAGGGACTTGGATGTGATGGGGAACTTGTCAGTCTTGGGGTGTGGAATTAATGACCCGTGGAAGCGAGCTTAAGGGGAGAGCGGGTTTGTGCCCCAGAGCTGGGCAGTGACCACACCCTGCTTTCCGTCTATGCGAGTGTTTTCTCCTTCTGTCCCAGCAGGTTGAACCCTGAATTAATCGTCCTAGACTAGCTTTGCTGTGGCAAGAAACACACCAAGACCCCAGGGCTTTAGTGCACAGGCGGACATCTGGTGTCTGCACAGCACAAGTAGATGGGGCCCTAGTGGGAGTTCTGTCCTACCTGGAGGCCTCTCCATGCCGAGATAGAAACGCCGGGGAAATACGCCTGCCTCCTCTCTCACAGTAAACCCATGGGGCACACACACGGGGCACTGGGGGCACCTCTTTCAAGGCTTTCTGAGGGACATGTGATTCCCTTTGTGGAGAAAGTGTCATGATGAGGACCGAGAGCTCAGAGCCTGCTCCCTGCTTTCTCAGGCAGGTTGGTTTTGTAGTGGGAAGGCCAGGGGCCTTAAGTAGTAAGTTGAACCCTAGGGAGTAGCTCAGTGGTAGAGCACTCACCTAACATGCTGAGGTCCTCGTTTCTATCCCAGCTTTCCTCCCCCACCCCGGTCCTCACAGAACTAGTGTGGGGCTGTTAGTGCAGACAGCCACTTCTGGCTGGCGTCCTGAAGAAACAGTTTCTGACTCCAGCTGAGAGGCAGGTAGGAGAGGCTCAGTAATATAGATGCCCAGCGGCCAGCTTCTGGTCTCGGGGTGACGCGGGACTGTGGGAGCAGAGCAGAGCAGCCTAAGCAGGGATTTCCACACCATGTGTCCCTCCTCACGGAGGAGGCCGATTGGGCAGGTGATAAAGATTGCACAGGTAGAGAAACTACAGGCTGTTCTGGGAAACAGACTGAGGTTCAGATGGGGGATGGAGGAAGGTCCTCCGCACCGCACGGGAAGCCACAGGAAGTGGAGGCCTGGGGCCTGTGAGCAGGGGGACTGACTAGTGAGCATGCTCGGCAGGCAGCAGCATGGATTGCTTCCAGTCAGGCTGCTGTGTGGAGACGAGGCTGAGCCCTGGTTCCATCCTCCCTGTGCCCTTGTGTCTGGTCTTCAGCCATTTCCAAGTTTGCTGTGTCATGCCCACTGCTAGTAGCTCTAGCAAACACTCAGGTGACCTCCAGTTCAGAAGGCTGGGCCCGGTCACCCCTGGGCCCGGTCACCCCCCTGGGCCCGGTCACCCCTCACTTCTCATTTTTGTGCTTTCCATTTCTTCTCCATCTGAATATTTAATAGCTAGATGTTTTCAGAGAATAAGAAATTACAGCAGGCTGAGAAGTTACCAAAATAGTCCTTTAAGGGCTAAGATGGGTGTGTCCCTTTTGAAAACGGCACGCCGCCTTTTCCTGGTATTGGGCTGTTGCTCATGCCTCTTGAAACGCTAGATTATGTCCAAGCAGCCATACTTGTGTCTCCAGTTCTGTTGCTGACCCTTCACACGTCTAACCTGGAGGATCTTGTAGGACTGCAGAGTTCATGTTTTCTTCTGCCGTCGCCATTTCATGGAGAAATCCAGTACTCGAGGTTTCGCTGGGGTGTCAGTGTTGGTAATCATGCAAAGCACGTGCTGTTCATTAGTGAATGCGTGACACCTTGGTGCCCTCACTGCCAGGTTTGTGTGCACCGAGCCCCAGGCCTCATGCCGCCCACGGCCGACTTTCTACCTTCCCAGAGCCGAGTGTTTGCCCCACGGAAGGGTTTGTAGTCTGTGGTGTCACCTGGCAGTGAGGCCTCGCCTACCTTCGTTTATGTCATTGGTGGAATTAAGGCTACCCTCCCCATCCTGCCTCTGGTTGGCCAGTTGCCTTTTCTACAATTAGTGTGAACAGTCTTGTCTGGTTCACAGAATTCTGAAAGCCAAGAATATGATAATAGAAATTATTTACTTTGGAAAGTTTTGAGCTCTTTAAAATGTAGCCAATGCTGTTTCTGTCTGGTGTTTACTGTTCTGAATTGTCACTGAAGAGTCGGTGCGTTTAACTTACCTTTTTAAATGAATAATTTTATTATTTATGTTATATGCTTGGGTGTCCTGCCTGTTTGTATGTCTGTGCACTTTGTGCAGGCTGGGTACCCCAGGGGGCCGGAAGAGGTCATCAGTTCCCTGGGACTGGAGTTAAAGGTGGTTGTTAGCCGCCATGTGTGTGCTGGGAACTGAACCTGGGTCCTCTGGAAGCAGCCAGTGCTCCTAACCACTGTTTCATTTCTCCAGCCTCACATTGATTGATTGATTGACTGACTGACTGCTTGATTTTTATAGAGCTCTACATTTCTCTCTGCTCCCCTCCCTGTTTCTCCCCTCCCCTTCAACCCTCTCCCAAAGTCCCCAATGCTCCCAGTTTACTTAGGGGATCTACTTCCCATGTAGATTAGATCCATGTATTTCTCTCTTAGACTCCTCATTGTTGTCTATGTTCTCTGGGATTGTGATTTGTAGGGTAGTTTTCTTTGCTTTATGTTTAAAAACCACTTATGAGTGAGTACACGTGATAATTGTGTTTCTGGGTCTGGGTTACTTCACTCAATATGATGTTTTCTAGCTCCATCCATTTGCCTGCAGATTTCAAGATTTTTTTTTCCTTCCAGCCTCACGTTTAACAGAGCTTAAACTAAATAGCTTTGAGAATTTTTAAATTAACTGAATGATCTTTTCAGAGATAAAAATGAGGTTACAAAAGAGGAGTGAGACTATCCAGTAGCTGCCCACGCTCCTGTTGTGTGTCTGTTAAAGTTTACCCTACTCGTGCAGCAGATCCTCGGGCGAGGGTCTGGCAGGTCACTTCCTCTGCTCACCACTGCCCTCACGCACCCAGTTCACTTGCTGGTAAAATGCTTGGAAGAACAGTAGGGCTGACTGAAGCCCAAGGTGAGGCGCGTGTGCCCAGGTCACGTGTGAGCAGTTGCCTGGTGATGGAGAGCTGGCAGCCCTTTTGTCTGGACCCAGAGACTTCCCCGCCAGTGTGCTGTAGGTGACAAGATAGAGTCACTTATCCGTGGTAAGATGGGGGAGAAAGTGGGGAGCCTGGCAGGCAGCAGAGTGTGACAGTCTCTGCTCCAGTGAGGTCACAGAACCAACCTGCTTGCCTTCAGGGCTGGGAAAGTAAGAAAACTCTATCCGGTTTTTACGAGTGTTTCTTTCTAGAAATCTCGCTTAGCCACACCCTGACAAAATGTAGTGTTTGGCTCTTTCCACCCTCACTTGGAAAATCCAGAGATGGGGTGAGGGAAGGAGTCAGGATCCAGACTTCACCTGCCTCCCTCAGACCAGCCATTTGTTGTTAGTGGCTCTAAGACCAGATGACTCTGTAAAAGTGATACCATTTGGACCTTAACTGTACTCAGTATAGTTATAATAGTGATGGTTAAGATGTGTTTCCCAAGCTGGGCCAGTAGCAGCACCCTCTGGAAGTTTTATCTTTCTTTTAAAGCAGAGGCTTGCTACACTGTCTGTAACCCTCTTATAGGCTGGCCCCTGACTCTCAGCAGTCATCCTGCCTCTGACTCCCAAGTGTTGGAGTTACAAGTATGTGCCCGAGGAAGGGTTTTAATTATTAAAGACCTTCCAGGGATACATAATGAGTTCAAGGCCAGTCTGGGCTATATACTGAGACATTGTCTTGAAAGACAAATAACAAAACAGGATAATTTTATTAAAATGAAGTCTTTCCAGGGCATACACCTCAATAAAAGTTGAAATTATGACTCATGGTGTAGTGTTTTACTTCTTCCCTGCTATCTAAATTGGCATCTTTACCAACTGAGAAACTGTACTGGGGAAATTTCAGGACTAAGGGAAAGCAAATTTGATCAGGTAAACAGTGTTTAGGAAGCCACGCTGCCAATAAGGCAGCCCTGTGAGCAGGTGTATAATGTCACAAAGAATCCTAGCAGGCTACTCTGATACTTCTAGTCCCAGCACGAAAGAGGCAGGAGACAGGAGGATCATACACAGTCTAAGGCTAGCCTCTCCACACAGAGAATTCCAGGCCAGCTAGGCTGAGAGTCTCAAATGAGGAAAAGGGTTTTCTAGAGATGGCTCAGTGGTTAAGAGCACTGACTGCTCTTCCAGTGGACCCACATTCAATTTCCAACGCTTTTATGGTGGCTCACTACCATCTATAGCTCCAGTCCCAGGGGATCTGACACCTTCTTCTGGCCTCCTCGGGCAGTGCTCACACGTCCATGGTGGCTCACAGCCGTCTGTAACTCCTGTCCCAGGGGTGTGATCCACCTCCTAGCCTCTTCGGGCAGTGCTCACACATGATGTGGTGATTTACATGCAGGCAAAACATCTTCACACATAAAAATAAATTATAAAAAAGTTTTTTAAAAAGGAAAAAAAATAGCCAGCCAGTGGTGGCACATGCCTTTGATCCCAGTACTGGAGAGGTAGAGGCAGGTGGATCTCTGTTGAGTTCAAGGCCAGCCTGGTCTACAGAGTGAGTTCCAGGATAGTCAAGGCTGTTTCTATAAATTGTGCGTTTACTTCCTGATTTATTTAGGCAAGTATGGCAATTATAATCCTCACTGCCCTGCTGTTTAAAAGCTGATCTACAGGTATATATATATATATATATATATATATATATATATATATATATGCCAGATGCTACCAATTTCCAAAAAAAAAAAAAAAGATCTTTGGAAAGCCAAGGAAAACAAAGCATCCGTGTATTTTCTGTCCTCAGAGGAGTGTAGCATGTAGTCATGCTTCCACTGAGTGCCTCCCTGGAGAGCCCTGTCCTTCTTCCAGAGTGCTGTCCTGGCTGCCTGGGAGGAGCTCCATGCCCAGCCACTGATGCTCACCAGCACTTTTCTGTCTACATTAATCCTTTGTTTGCTATACTTGGAACCGCCACTGGTCGCTGGCACCGCCATACTGATACTTTTGTTACCTCCTGTTCTTTATCCCACAAACTTTTCCTTAAAACCTCTGTCTCAGAACAAAACAAACAAGCAAATGATAAAGTCTAAAATTCAAAGAGGTGTAAATTAAGAAATATGTTTGCTATATTACAGTATTAACATTTTTACACTGATAACGTACAGTGGAATCCGTCTTATCGTTTGCAGAGAAGGTAGCGATTGTGTTCTGAGGAACACAGAATAGGTCTTTTACAGCAAGACCAACTGAGGCAGCCTTCCCTTATACATACAATATTTCAGCTACGGAGTAGAACTTGCTTTGTTGATCCCTCGAGATGGACTGGATCTCAGTGCATCATGGGTTGGCGGAGCCGCAGTGGGACTGAGCTCGCTCTGCTGTGAAGTCCAGTGTGTCCTTTCACCTCCCGTTGGAGACCTTGGAGTGGATCATCATCTGGGACTCCGTCATTTCCCGTGAATTTTCCTCAGGGGCTGACCGCACAGCACTGGAGAGGGATACACTGACTTGCCGCTTCAGCATCTTCATGACCTTCCTCTTGTAGCCTTTGCATGCAAAGAAGTAGATGAAGGGGTCCATGCAGCAGTTGAAGTTCATCAGGCACACTGTGAAGTGCAGGGAGAGCTGGAAGGAATATCTCTGGCCACATTCGAGGGCAGGGGAGCAGAGTTTCTTAATCATGTGCTGGATGATTGATATGTGGTAAGGCGTGAAACAGAGAACGAACACCACGATGATGAAGATGATTGTATTGAGAGCTTTCTTGTTGACACCCGATTTCTCAGTTAGTGGGTTCTGCTTGGCAGTCTTGAAGAGTTTGCAGCAGATTTGGGAGTAGCAGATGAGAATGATTACGAGGGGCAGCACATAGCCGAGCAGGCACGCCCCGAGCAGGATCCAGGGGAGGGAAGCCGTCTCTTCGAAGTTTGGGTATTCCATACAAGTTGTCCTGCCGGTCTCCTTCTTGGACATAGGTCTGATGAGCAGAGGCAGGGTTTGAGCAAATACTAGAATCCAGACAGAGATGCAAACACCCTTCGCGTATTCGATCCTTTTAATCTTGTTGTAGCGCAGAGGGTGCACCACGGCGAAGAAGCGGTCTATGCTCAGGCAGGTCATGAAGTTCACACCTGCGTAGGTGTTGATGTAGAACACCAGGGCATTTATCCGGCACAGGGCATCACCGACCCTCCAGTCAAAGCCTAGGGCATAGTAGGCTATCCGAGTGGGCAAGGCTGTGGTAAACAGGATGTCAGAAATCACCAAGTTCATTGAATAGAGAGTGGTTGAGTTGATTTTTTTCCTGTTTTGAACAATGACAACCAAGGCCAGCAGGTTTCCCACCAGCCCGATGATGAAGACAAGGCTGTAATGCAGAGGCATCAGTATCCTGGCTGTGCCGTGGTGTGCATAGAGGTCACAGTTATTGCCCTGAGAAGCTGCCAGCGCTGTAGTGAAATTGTTAGCCATTTCTGTATCCAGCAGGGGTCAGGGTCACTAGGAAGAAAGAAAGCAAGTAGGGAATGTTTAGCTAAAACTATTTAACTCAGCTGTTCAGTCACTTACACATCTACCTTAAACTTCTCAGTGCATAAACTTTAACTGGAATAAACTCAGAATAAAATTTATGTGTTTGCTTTTACAGTTAGTGACTTTGTCAGAGCTCCGGCAAAGGAAATAGAACCATCTAAATAGGTCAGTACATTTTTTGCAGCAAGAGAAGTTGCACTAACTTCAGGCAGAAATCCCCCCGTTTCTGAATCATTGTGTGGTTAAGAATAAAATCGTCTAGAGTTCCCCACATTTCAGACAGGCATTAAGCTTGACTTTTAATCTGAATTTAGGTTGAGTTTTTTTTTCTTCCAGGTTGCCAGGAAATGAGATCAGTGATACATGCAGTGCAGGGGAGCTGGTCTGCCTTCACCTAGAGCCACGAGAGACACGCTCAGGCCGGGCTGGGAACTGAAAATAGTATCTTAACTAAAATGAAAAGGTGTAACGCCAGCTATTCTGGAGGCTGACATGTTTGAGGGCAGCTTGGGTGTCCTTTCTCTAGATGAAAAAAAAAAGTGAGGAAAAAATTGAATTCCCAAGGGCTGTCCATGCAGCTTAGCCGTGGGCACACTTCCCTTTCTTGTGTGGAGCTGTTGGGGATGTGTGGGGCACAGAGACTCAAGCACCTTCAGATGAGAAATTTTAAGTTGGGGGTATCGTATGTGTTGAACCCAGTGACAGTGACATCATGTGGTGTTTTGTGTCTCAGTAGTAATAAATGACCACAGCAGTGTATTTACCTGTTTTTTAACATCTGGGTTCTGTGAGGCGTCTGATGGATATTCCACAGTTTTCCAAAGTGTTGGATCAATATTCTTCAGTACTCCAGTGTGGTAATGCATAATTTAAGTAGCTACTTCCTCACTGCACATTTGGGTTGTTTAAATTTTTTTTCTTGGTCATAAATAATGCTAAGACAAATTTCAAGTCCTGAACTGGAAATCTAAGAATTCTGACAGCAAAATTCCACATAAAAGAGTGGACATCAATGAAAGTAGGAACACTGAGCAATAAATTCTGTGATCATATTTTAAAGAGAATAATCACTTCTTTGTAGATTGTCTTTATAAATTTCAATATATATGTATGTATTATAAATGCCAGTATTAAGGGAGCCTTTGGGATGTCTCTTCCGCTGCTGCTGTGTGTTCAAGGGGAAGTTGTCTGTCAGGACTGATTGGAATCACTGGCTCCAGATCTACTCCTTTGCCTACGCTGCTTGGTGGACGAGGTCTCTGTTCCCTTCTCTGACAGCCTGAGAAGAGGGATGGCCACTGGCCCCGAGCTCTGCAGTGGTGTGTGGTGCTGACAGATGAGCCCTCACAGGCTACAAATAAAGCCTAAAGCACAGCCAAGCAGCGTAAGAAACGGTGAGGTGGGAGGAGAGGATGGGGATGGAAAGCAGAAGATGCAGGAGTGGAAAAGTTCTAACCAGTCTCAGTGGATTGAACTTGTCTGTTAAAGGGAACACTACCAGTTTGGAGCTTTCAAAGACGATGTAATTCAGAGTAATGTAGAAAGGTGCAGAATAAAGCTGTAGGGGAATCCACACCAGCCAGATCCACTACGGACGGGTGGACTGCAATAGAACTTCAGGAAAAGGGACTCAAGGCAGCTTTGATACCAATAGCTAAAATGATATTACTGCCAAAGTTAAGAATAGGTTTTGTGCAGTGGTGGCGCACACCTTTAATCCCAGCACTTGGGAGCAGAGGCAGGTGGATCTCTGAGTTCAAGGCCAGCCTGGTCTACAGAGTAAGTTCCAGGATAACCAACATAGAGAGACCCAGACACAAACAAAACAAAGAGAACAGTCCACAAAGGATATATGAATAATTCTGAAATGTACCTAAGCTATCAAAATTTGATGTGGTTTAAAGGAAAGACTAACAAGTCCACAATCATAATGGATAGTTGTGTGTATATGAATAATACCCTAGAGAAAAAAATGACATGCCTTGAAGATTTGCTCAGCATGGTTTAAAAGTTAGCAGAATGTGTGTGGAAGGCATAAGCGTGTCTCAAGCTCAACCATAGACTAGGTCGCCAGAAGATTCTCAAGATGGCAAGAAAGTCATCACTGAACTTGTCACACAGCCTGACTATAGTACAGCTAACGTAGATACCAACGGTAAAGCAGTGAAGAATGAACTCAGAAATGAAGACCTTTGAGTTAAAGAAGGCACCACTCTGGAAGTTTTTGAGATGCTTAAAATGAAATAAAAAGAAAGATTGAAAAATAGTTGTTGCCCGTACAGCTTAAGAAGCAGGAGAACCAAATTTGTCCAGCAAAATCGGAAGTAAATAAGACAACTGTGAAATTAGTGAAATCAAAACCAACGCAACAAAGACAGATATGGCTTCATGGTTTGTGTAGGAATAAAAACTCAGAGGCTCTTGCCTTGGAAGTGAAAGAAATAAAAGTGGGAACCACCTGTTTCTGTGGGAAGGCTTCCTCTGCCATGTTCAGGACGCAAGGCTGGGCGCAGGGGAGTGCGGCCTCTAGACAAGGGCCTCTAGAGCGGGCACCAGCAACTCCGACCAGAGTTTTTTCCCCTGAAAATTTCATCTACCATTTTTGAGGAGTTCTCCAAAGCTACTTCCTGGAATCTGATCTTAAAAAAATGCTCACGGGGGAAAATGTGTGTGGAGTTGCCAAATCTCCACGCTAACCACGACTGTAAAGATGAGGAGAGGCACCGCAGCAGAAGAGAGGGACGAGATGCCATCGTGTGTCCGCTGCTAATGATTCCTGTGTTCTCGTGCCTGGTACACTAAAAGTGGGAGTGGCTTCAGAAGCTCAGGTGCAGGATGTCCTAGGGTTCGGCCGTGCTGTGGGGTGTGAAAGTAGCAACACGTGACTCTTTCTCAACAGGAAGTTATGTTAAGGAAACCCGATCACACGGTATGCTACTCTGGGGAGGAAAGCATACACAAACGCACATGTGCACACATGCACACACAAGAGAAAGAGGCCTGCTTAGATAGTATGTATGACGGTAAATAACACTGTAGGAGTGATCTGGGGACTTGTGTCCATACAGCCTCCATTCAGAACACTGAGCATGGATTGACTGAAGTGAGGTAATGGTTTTGTTTCACCAGAGGAAGAAATATTACTTAGGTCTTCTTGCAAGAGCCTCATCACCCGACACTCTTCAGACATGGCTCCTACTCACTCGCTGTGCCTACCTTTGAACTATGTCTGGCAGGAACCTCCTATGGACCTGAGGGCTAAAGGCCATGCTGTGTCCTGCTCCATGGTTTTCTGACCAGTCCTTTGTAGGGGCAGCTATCTCATGAGCCCTTAAAGAACTGAGACATTGTGGTTTCATAGTCAGACAGCAGCATGACGCATGTGGTCAGCTTCCCCAGGGCAGGGGACGCCAGCCCCGAGGCCAGGCTGGGCAGGGATCTTAACTGACCACTGTTGGGCCAGAGCCAGCATGTGTAGAGTGAGCGTGTAAACAGGATAGGTCAGAAAGTGGCCTAGGTAAGGAGATGAGATAGTTTGTAAATGTGTTCTGGGGATTGAGTCCACAAGGTAACTGCTACCTTGCCATTGTCTCCAAACCTTGCTTCTGTCTCTCTGTGTCCTCAGTGCTGCCATTTTAGTTGACTTTATCTTCTCCATATTGAGGGAGAAATCCTTCATGTCCTTGGTTGTTATTCAATTCCTTTGCTCAACAAATCTCAAATCTTATGTCCCCCCAGAGTTAGAACTTGTTCCTGTCTTTAACCATCTGCTGGATTACTCTTGTGAGGCTTAAGGTAGCAAACACTGCTTGTAGTGTTTTTAGTCTACATATGCCAGATCCTGGGAATGTAGAAATGATACCGTTTTGTATTAGAGGGTCCAGAATTGAAGGCTAAATACCATGCCTGGATATTCTTTTGGTCTCACGAGGTCCTAGCTCACACTGCTTGCTGTCCTTCTCACACATGCCAGTGTGCTGTGTGCCGCTGTGTTTAGTCTGCCTGCAGTGGTCTCAAATTGGCCTTTTCAAAGTATAGCTTACATTTTAGTGCTCTTTATTTTTCATTTTAGTTATGATTAGGCAGCAGCTTCTGACATGTTTAGAATATTTATGTATGCACACATAGATAAACCTATATACGTGTGTGTGTGTTAAACCTGAAAGTACTGTAATATGTCACTGTAGTAGGGAAAAGCCCTCAGGGTGTGTCCTAAATCTGTTTCCTTTAGAACACTAATATTTATAAGAATGATAGTTTCGGTACAATGCTTTTGATGAATTGTATACTTGGCTCCACATTCCAAATACTAAAGGACAACAATCAAGATACTGACGTCTTCCCCAAGGGCATAGACAGTAACTGAGGTGCATAAAATGGGATTTTTCTTCAGGGTTGACCCTTGTGAGGAACAGCCATTCCTGACATTTTATATCTGTCCTATAATTCTAGACCCTCGAATATAAAAAGGAATCATTTCTGCATTCCCGGGATCTAGCGCACGCAGACAAAGCATCAAACATTGAAAGTACTATTTGCTAAAAGTATGAAACGAACAAAAGGGCGCGTCTGCCTCCAACTCCCCCTCCTCCCGAGGATGGACACCTGGAGGCCATCTTGTTCTTCTCTTATTTTCTTGCTAAGAGCAGAGACGGTTTGTTCTGTCTAACATGACATCTGCTCCTTGAGCTCCCATTGTCCTCCTCATGTGTGTGAAACCGTTTCTTCTGCAGACTACTTTCCAGAGTCGTTCCCTGGTGTACTTGAAAGTGTGTCTGTCTGTAAAACTTATTTCTTTGCCTGTAGAGTTGCCAACATTTCTTAAGATATTATCATTTCATTTTTGCATAACCAGACATGTTGTCATGAAGTGACCGTTTTTTTTTCTTCCCACAGAAAGGAGGGGAAACATGCCCCCAAAGGTCACTGATTAGTGTTTAAGAAAATTGCCTAAGCTCTGATAACAATTTGTACTCAGGAAACATTTACTCTGAGAACCAACATGAAGGCATTTGTGAAGTTTCAAAGGCTACATAGACTTCTGCTAGCCCAACTCATTTGCTTGGGGAATTACAGGGCTCTTCTTACTCATGACAGAAACAGAACAAAACCTTCATTACAGTCAGAGATTTGCTTCATGCTAAAGTAATAGCTTTGGGGTTCTAAGGTGTTTGTGTGTCACCATTATCTGAGAATTATCAATGCCTTAAGTCAGAGAGGGGGCCTTTGTCACATTCAGCTTTAACAATGTTTTGAGCTGTCTGTTGTTACCTTGGTAAGATTGGGTTGGATTGAGACCTGCCTTGGTCAGAGGGGTGACTTTGTGTGTGCCAAAGAGGAAGTTACACTTTGAAAAACAACCAGAAGGGCCACTAAAAGCAGTGAGGCACAGATAGAAATCATGGGGGGGGGGGGCACGGGGTGCTGTCAAGTTACATATGACCCAGCCCTTCCCCGGATTCTGCTGGCATAGTTTCGGCTATTATCTTGAAAAAAGATAAGATTGTCAAAAAATGCTTAGAATCGGGGGAGATGAAATGAGTGGAAAAGGAGGGGGTGGGATACAAGAAGGGGACGTGAAGACACAGGATGATGGGATACAGGATGTCCTCTAAGGGACAGACGGTGGCACAGACCCAGCAGGCCAGTAGCCGAGGCTGTTTAAATGCCTTTGATAAGGAGCTGCTCCTGGGAGGGAAGAAACCACGCCTTGCTCTTTTCTGATTACCTAGCTGCGGGAGCACTTGTCAGGTGTGTCCACTCGTCTTTGCTCTCATTTAATAGGGATGTCTGAGTTTAGCCCAGCGTCAACACCTGCAGCATGAGGTCAGCGTTTGTTCCCCTTTTAGTTGGCTAACAGCTGTTGTGTGTGCTGTCTGCCTGTACAATGGGCAGGTGGCAAGCTTGCAGAAGGAGCACCAGATACATTTGCCCAGTTGTCCGTTCCCATGTGCCGCTAACCAGGACATGCCACAGTGCTCTGGTTAAGTAAATCTGCTATTAAGTGGTTTCTTCACCGGGCAGTATTTCTGAATCCTGATTTGATAGCTGTGTCTATGTCTGTTGACTGTTTTCTAATTATCTCATGTCCTATCCCCAAATTGAACAGAACACATTGATTTTACTCACGGTAGTGTTGAGCATGATCAGCCTGCTCGAAGGGAACTTGATTTCTCTAGCTTTTGGAAGTGTGACAAATCAAGGGACCAGAGTAATCAGCTCCGTTAGATGCCTGCCTCCAACCACTGACAGCACAGGGACCTTGTTAGGACAGCAGAGTGGTGTCCACCTGTCTGAGTTCGCCCTTGTTGCCTCTCAGGTGTCAGACTCTGGTGGGCACAGCTTATTGGGGCTCTGCATGTTAGAGTGGATGGGGTGTCTGGGAGGGGTGTTTGGTTGAGCACTGTCGTCTGTGTTTGGGGCTGGACATACTCCAGATATTTTTTTAACCTTTCCCTTGTGTGGCTTTTGGCAGCTTTAGCAGTGGTTGTAATAATTATCAGAGCTGGTGATGTCCCTGTAAGTTACTGTAAGGATTTAAAGGTGGCCGTTATCACACCCACTTCAGCACAAGGAGGGCAGATGCCCTGTGTGTGCACGTGGCAGGATTGGTGGGATCTTCTGTGCATATAGAAAGGCCTTTGTAATGAGGATGTGTGTGCCCAGAATTACTCCTCTGGGTTCAGATTGCTTTTAGAAACAGCATGCACTTTGTGCCCTTCCAGCTGACGGGAGCTGTAAGCTTTAAGCTAAGCCTCCTTATTTTGTGGCTGTGCTGAATTAAGGGCGGGTTCAGTTATTTACTCAGGATTCCTCAAGGTGTGGATCATTTGGGAGGTCGGGGCTCTGTCCTTCCCCAGTCGCCCCACAGCTTTGTGTCCTTATCTGCCTCCCTGCTGTCTGTGATCTTGCTGTCTGCAGTCCTTCCTCTCTATGCAGTGACCTGGCGGCCTCTTCTCAGAGAGCCCGCCATCTGGGGCCCACAGGCCCAGGGCAGGAGGAAAACTAACCATCACTGCTTCCTTCATCGGAGGCCTCCCTCCTCGCTTCCTCTGGGAATCTGCCCCTGCCAATCGCCCCTCTTTATTCTGGCATCCTTCACTCTGTCCCTGGAAGCTTCCAGACCTCTGCTCCCCCTCCACCCCACCCCACCCAGGAGGGCAGAGCATTGGGTTGTGGTTTTGTCTCTCGCACTCCTGTGAAGTTTCGAGAGTGGGGATGTAAGCGGCAGTTCTTACACCCCAAAGATAAAAAAGGATGTCCAAATCTCAGCTGCCCTAATCCTTGCTGGAGAGTTCTCTGTCAGCCACACACGCAGCAGAGACGTGAGCGCCTCGGTGGCTGCAGGCACGGCTGTAGCCATTACGTTTAAACTCACTCTTTGCCGCCAGAAAAATGACATTCAACACAGGATGTGTTGTCCCGAGTTCCTGTTTCCCAGATCGAGGCACAATGAGTGGAAAGCAACAAAACAGGAAGGAGTTTCAGAGCTTTTGACACGTGCCTGCTTATCTGTGTCTGAGGAGGAGGGAGATGGGAGAACCTAAATGAAGTAATCATTAACTTCTGACATGTTTTAATCAAATGAAGGACAGTTGAGTACTTGGGGTTTGGTTTGCTTTTTAGGGTAGGGTCTCCTGCACTCCTGGCTAGCCTCAAGCTCAGAGCGTGGTAGAGACGGGTCCACAGCCTCTGACTGAAGATTTAGAAAGGAGTTTACTATTTTAACAGTGCCGTTTCCATCGGAAGAGAAC